AACTGGTAATAATGGGCAATTCCAGCATTATGAATTTTATTCAGCCCATACCTCAGAAGAACTTTACATGAAAATTCATGATAATGATTACTTAGCCAAAGGTGATATTGATAAAACAAAACGTGAATCAACTCTGGTTAGTTTTAACCGATTTATAACAGGGCGTTATGTTGCATTACTTTCATTAAATCATGACACATTTGGTACATGTGCTGAATTTAATGTATATAATGATACAATAACCTCCAATGACGCTGATGATGGTTACATTAATAAAGATAAGACAGGAAGTGATATTCCAAGCCAAATTCAAGCTGGCCAAGGGAATGTGAAAGAAATTTCATCATGTCATTTCACTAACATTAATATTAACGGTCCAAAGTATTACATCAAAGCGGTTTCTGAATTTATGATGTATGACAATGTGTTTGAAAACACGGACGATGCAAGTAGACCAGGAGTCATGTTCATAAACTATAATGGACACTTAGGCATTAGTAATTGTAAGTTCATTAAGATTCGAGCACCACAAAACAATGAAGGATTTGTATTTAATTGCAATACTGGCAATAACATCAATGTTGTTACTGAAAATTCTGAGTTCATTAATTGTGGTGCAAAAGGAGAACGACCACTTATTAGTATCATGAGTGGTTTGAGTTCTACCAAATTCAAAGATTGCAAGTTCATTTTTGATGATACGGAAGGTTCTTGTAGAGTCCTTGAATTGGGCACAAACGATTGTGTATTCGATAAATGCAAATTTGTTAACTGTGGTGAAAGAGCCATTTATTTAACAAGAGGTCAAACTACAGTGAGGTCAAGTGATGTATTTCAATTGACAAATTGCGTTGTTAAATCAAATCAAGGAAGATTTGTCAATGCCGAACAATTGAAATCAAAGCCAATTATCACAGGAAACACTTTTGAGGAGTCATCACTTGACAACAATTATTTGATTTACATAGCACACGATCAGAATGAAATTAAACTCACAAACAACACGTTTTCAGGCATTGATGCAGGTGGGGCTGATGAATCGAGTTGTGGAGGACTGACCAAATTTGTTGAAAGTAGTTCAACTACTGAAGTAACAATTTGTTATGAAGACTGTAAATTCGCTGGCATTAACAAGAATCAACAAGCAAGAAATGCACAATATTATCACGGTTCAATTCTATTCAACAAAGTGAATAATATTGATGCAAATCTTGAAATTAAAAACTGCATATTCAGAGAAAGTAATGCAAAGCAAAGTGGTGGTGCTGTTTTTATAACAGATGGGAAAAATGTTAATATTAGTAATTGTTCATTTGAATCAAATAAAGCTGAATATGGTGGTGCTGTTTACATTTCTTCTAGTTCTTTATCTGATACAATTAATGTTGAAAATTGCATTTTCAAAAATAATGTTGCAACGAAGCTTGAAGGACCTGATGAAGCATCAGGTGGAAGTGGTCTTTTATTATACGCTTGCGCAGGTGTAATTCGAAGATGCAAATTTAAGAACAATGAAGTGAAAATTGTAAACAATGTTCAATCATTATATTCATTGAGTATTCCACTTGAAAAGCCAACATTTAAGCTTAGTGAGTGTTCTTTCTCTGTTGATAAAACTTCAAAGTTTTCCATCTTTTATCATGGAAGAGAACGTAAGACTACTCTTGAATTAGAAAAATGCATTTTTAAAGGTGATTTGAATGATAATGCTTACTTTATTGATGGTCAATTAAATAGCAAGAGCTCACTTAAATTGATCATCAGAGATTGCAAGTTCCCTCCAAAGTTAAGAAAGGTTTTGAATCCAAACAGTAAATTTGAATTGGTTGAAATTAAAGAGAAAACAAAAGAAATGAATAAGATGAAAATCATTTCTTTTGTTTCTGTATTTGGAATAGCTGCAGTAGCTATTTTGATTATTACAATAATGAAGAAAAGATCAAATGAGCCAAATTACTCTAATGACCAAGAAGAAATTGAGGTTTAAACTCAAGTACATGACCTTTTTGGTTTAGTTTAAGTTTTTTTTAAAAAAAAAAAAAAAAAAAAAAAACTTTAAAAAATTTTCAAATCTTATTTTTTTTTCATTACACTTGAATTCAATGATTCATGTCTTTTTGAATTGATTTTTTCATTACACTTGAATTCAATGATTCATGTCTTTTTGAATTGATTTTTTCATTACACTTGAATTCAATGATTCATGTCTTTTTGAATTGATTTTTTCATTACACTCGAATTCAGTAATTCAAAAGATATATTTATTATTTCTCATTCTTTAAAAAAATCATTCGTTTATATGAGAATAAAGTTTTTGATATTAATAAAGAAAAAATATTTATTCACAGAAGAAAAATAGATTATTAAGGTACTGAATAAGCAAAAGAGACTTTTTGTAAGGACATTCAAATAATTGAAAGAAAATAATTTTTTCTCTCAATTATTTTTATTTTTGAGAGAATTAAAAAATAAAATTATTTTTAATCTTTTTAAATTTTTTCATAATTTTTACAGAGGCTATATACAGACCTCGCGGCTGGCGGTAAGAATCGGTAAAAATTATGTACCATAAAAAGATTTAAAAATCTTTTTATTTTTTTATATTTTCTCAGATAAAAAAATTGAATGGTAAATTTATTCTCATTCAATTATTAAATTAATTAAAATTTACATTTTTCGTTCAATTAATGAATTAATACAAATGCTTCAAATGGTCGAAGAGTTGTTTTCTTGCCAAAATCAGTTTCATCATTTGGATAATAAGAACATTCAATTTCTGATCATATTTCGTAAAGTTATTTGCAACGAACATTACTTTTGACTGATAAGTTCTTGTGTAAATGCATGCATTTTCATCATCTTTGAAAAAGTCTTTGAAAACACCATTAACAGCCACGTCAACGTAATCTTTTCTCATTTTGATTAACTCTTTGTAAAAGTTCAGAATTGAATCTTTATCATTTAGCTCTTGTTGAACGTTTATTTGAGTATAGTTAGGATTAACTATAATCCGAGGACTAGCATTTTTATTATCTTTCATAAATCCAGCATTTTCAATGAACCAAATTACTCCATTGCATTGGAGTTCTTGCATTGTCACGTGAAACATGGTGAATTGCTTTCATCGCTTCATCTTTTGTCATTTTTAAATTATTTTCATTCGGATCAGTTGCAATTTTGTGAAAATTGACTGTTTCAATGTCTTTGTAATCGTCGATTGATTCATATTTCACATTTGCCATACCGATTTCTTCACCTTGAAAAACATAGACAGTTCCTTTAAGAGAGAAATTGATAGTTGCAAGCATTTTTGCACTCAATTCGAATTTCAGGCGATGAATCATCACCAAAACGAGAAACCTGACGAGGAAAACCGTGATTTGATAAGAAGATGCTATTCCAGCCATTTTGATGAGTTTGAATCAGCTGGTTTTGAATCTCTTCAGATGTAAAAATCGTGCTTTTTGGAATCTTTTGATGCTCGTGATTCAACGAACCAAGGATGCTCATCCGATGTACGGTTGACTGCAAGATCCATGGCTAATTTGATTCCGTTGGAATGCATTCCTTGAATCATTTCTTTCCAACCATCCATTGTGCCAAAGTCTTCCATAATCTCACGATAGTCGCTAATATAGTATCCATTATCGCAATTGGGTGACTTGAAGTATGGAGAGAGCCCGCTGGGATCAATTCCGAGATTCTTTAAATAAGGAAGCTTGAGTGTGACTCCTTTTAGGTCACCTATTCCATCTCCATTGGAATCATGAAAACTACGGGGATAAATTTGGTATACGACAATTTCTTTCCACCAGCTCTTTTAGCCATTTTTATAATTTTAATAGAAATAATTGAATGAGATGATTCAAATATTGAATGTATTCACAAATATTCAATTTAAATTGAATATTCTATTATAATTTTTTTAATTCATTCGTATCGATTCCATACAAATATGCAGAAAATAATTATTAGTTTAATATTTAAACAATAGTATAATCATGATGATGATTTTTTTTAAACCATCGGCTGAAAAAATAGGTTTAAAGGCATAATCTAAAAAGGGCAATATAAGCGATCTTCTGATTGATTCATCTCTTCAAGATAAGAGATCATTGAATATTATTTTAATATGTAAGTTATAGAAAATCTAAAAATTTATGTGTATTTCATTAGTATTTTATAAGTCTTGAAAATCAAAATATATAAAGTACAGTAACAAAACTAAAAACGTATTTTTAATTGAAAATTCCACTTTTCTGGGAATATTACCAATTATACATTCAAATTTTAATTGAATTTTTTTGAGAATAAAAAAATGGAAAATCTAACTTTTTGAAAGTTTCTTTTCAATTTTTATTTTTTGTTTTATCTTTTTTTATCAAAAAGTCCGATTTTCCTTTTTTTGAATCATTTTCCATTTTTGTTACTGTACTGTACTCTAGATTCTTTCTGCCTTTTCACTCTTATCTCAATAACGGACAATCTTTTGTCTCTATTTTACATCTGAGAGTTGAAATTCAAAAGCCATGGATGCTTGGAAGACAAGGAGGAGTCAAATAAGATCATGAAGAGTCTATCTAAGAAAGTAGTCGACAATGCAAAAGAGTTTCTCCAAAACTATACTGGACAATTTTGAATTTAATAAATGATACTAATTTTTGTAAACTATTGTTTGAATAATTATCTAATAAATGAGCTTATTTTCAAAATTTCTATATGATACTATTCAAGGTAAGTGATATGATATATTATTTTAAATGATTATTTAATTATCAATGATCTCTAAAAATAAAATATGATATTTGAAATTAATCATTTATTAATCTTTCGGATTTACTCTATTTGATTTATTTTATTGCTTTTGCTGGGCTTCCGACTGCAAGAGCATTTTCAGGAATATCATGATTAACAAGAGATCGAGCACCAATAACTGCATTTTTGCCTATTGTTACTCCCATTAAAATCGTAGAATTTGTAAATATAAATATTTATATATATCTTCTCTAGGCTAATGGTTAAGTCGTCTGGCTGTTGACCAGAAAATTGTGTGTTCGAATCACACGGGAAGAGATTTTTAGGATTTTTTTCCTCCAATTGAATGATATATAAAAAAATCAATAAAACTTTCTCATTTTTATTTAATTACATATGTTCTTTTTGTTAAGCAATTGGAATTAATATAAATCCTTTTTTTATAGAATTAATAATCTTCATTTGGAAAAGCTCCGCTAATATAATGTATATGTTCAATACAATCATTACTTTTAACCATATAATAATGTGTGTCTTGATATTTTCCTCTAAACGTTTGATATACTTGAATATCATTTTGATCTGGTAATCTATCTAATTCAAAACAGCTTGGAAAATGAACATCAGCAATAATAAATGTTTCGCTTTCATTTGTGTTATTTATTTTGTATTTTCTGGCGTCAGGAATATTATCCCAAAAATAATATCCAGATCCTGCTATATCGTTTCGATTTTCTACTGGAATTTTTTGCGTTTCTATTATTTTTGCCGCCTCTTGCGGATTTGTCATATATATTAAAGGCATGCAATCGTGCATTTCAAAAGAGATATCATCTGGTTTAATTCCGTCTAAATAACGGATATTTAAGATTCTATTTGGGTCTTTTATAACATATTCTAGGCCTTCATTAAAATTTCCTTTCGAATTACGAATTGCTGTCACGTTTGTCTCGCCATTTGTGTTATTAGAGATTTCAAAGAAATTGGTGTCATGAGCAATATATTGTCCAAGATAAACGTCTGCCATTAAGTAAGTTCCGAGATTTTGAGCTTGGATATCCGTATCAGGAGCAGTTTCCGAAAAATAAATTGATGGAATCCAATCCCATCTTTGAGTTGGTATAAATTTTTTCGAAGTTAAAATAGACATTGCGGCTTCTGGGCTAGTTTGATGCACAAGAGTCCTTCTGTTTTTCTTTTCAATTTCTGATTCGGCATCAAAATTCGGTTTGGAGTGGGAATGCTGCATAAAATCTTCATTGAATTTATATTTTTCTTCATTCATTATGATGATAAGATTTGTAAATCTCTGAATTGCTTTCACTTTTTGAGTTTTTCTCCCTCAAAAAGTGAACCATTCAAGAGATTTTCATATTAAAATATATTGAAACTTTTTCAATAACATTTCTGAAAAGGTCAATGATCAAAAAAAAGTGTAACACATCTTATCCTATTATATATAATAAGAGTTCATTTTGATTAAAAAATAATCTTTTTTAACTTTTTGAGAGCGAAAAGGTGGATGATAAAAAATCACTTCACATATTTCTGCCCTTGCCAAGCAAAAAAAGAGCATTTCAAAAAAATCAAAGACAAAAAAAAAAAAATAAAAAATAAAAAAATTCCGGATAATTTTTTGGTTCATTGGTACCATTAATTATTTATTAATCACCATAAGTTGATGAATGATGATCAATATCACCAAAAAAAGATTAAAATTCCCAACATAAGACGATCAAGAAGATTCCGAACAGATGAAGATCAAGAAGATGCCCAACAGAAGACAATCAAGAAGATTCATTACAGAAGAAGCTTCTCAACTGAAAAATGAGTTCATTAAAAAATTGGGACAATCGTTTTTTTCTACGCCACTTTTTGAATGGTTTTTCTATCCATGAATAGCTTCTCATGGAAAGTAAAAAACCGCCATCTTAAGGTGAAATTTAACTTACTCTGTTAAGAAAATTAACCAAAAAAATCATAAATTTAAATTTTCTCTTAAAATTATAACTATTTGCTTTTTTTGATATAATTTTTTTTATTTTTACATAATTTTTCAGGAATATACGCACCAGTGATCACCACAGGGCTGCGCGAAGCCGAATCAGGCTCCTTGAATTGCTGGATGAATCGGGAAGCCATTTGAACTAAATATTTTTGCATTATTTAGCAAAAATTGAATAAAAAATGTATAAAAAAGTATTCAAAAAGTTTAAAAGTTTTCAAAAAGTGGCGTAGAAAAATACGATTCCCCAAAAAATTGGATATAAAAATATATTTATTTTTTTTATTTCACAAATTTTTTATCTTAGATTTAGTTTAAGAATAACATAAAGTTATATATTATAAAGGGAAATGAGTATAAATGCTTCTAGTCACTTTTTGAGTGAAGCTCAAAAAGTGACGTCCCTTGTATATAATAAGAGTTCATTTTGAACATAGGCTTAAAAAACCATAATAATATCAGTATATCAAATCTATCATTAAAAAAAGTCCTATCTCCAATATATAACGAGTTTTTATTCAACAAAAATGAATAAAATATAATATTTTTTAACTTTATGAGAGCGAAAAGGTGGATGATAAAAATCACTTCATATCTTTGATTTGAAATTCTCTGTTTTCTGCCCTGGCTAAGCAAAAAAAAGAGCATTTCAAAAACATCAAAGACGCAAAATGAAGCCCCTGATAGTTTTATTAGTCCATATATATATCACAAGTTAACAATTGATCATAGTCAACAAAGGAAAAAACTCTACAGAAGATAAAGTTTTTCCATAGAAGAAAATCAAGATTCCCAACAGAAGAGGATCAATGTTCCCAACAGAAGAAGATCAATGTTCCGAATAGTATAATATCAATGTTCCCAACCGAAGAAGATTACGATTTCCAACAGAAGAGGATCAATGTTTCCAATAGTAGAAGATCAATGTTTCCAATAGTAGAAGATCAATGTTCCCAATAGTAGAAGATCAATGTTCCCAACAAAAGAAGATCAAGATAACATCTTTATAATATTTTATGTCTATTATTGGAATCGATTTTGGAATAATAAAGGTATTTTAATATCCAAGAGAAATATCACTGAATTTTCACAAAAAATATATGCACTAATATCATCTTTTAAAAAGAGTAAACTAATGAAGAAAATTAAAAACTGCTTTATTATTATTATTATTATTATTATTAACATATAAATCTTTTATAATGACAATAAACTCTTTTTTTAAAATTGAAATATATACATATGTTATCTTGATTGAAAGTAAAAAAATTATAAAGAAGTTATCTTGATTTTCTTCTGTTGGTGCTTCTTCTAAAGATATAGTTGAAAATTGTGAAATTATAATTAATTTAATTGAAAATGGGGGAATGTAAATGACTTTGTTGCTACAGATGGTGATTTTGATTATCATCATATTAACTTATCAATATTATGATACCAATTTTAAATAAGAATTTATCTTTTGAAGGAAAAATAATGAAAATGACGGAATTCATACATATACGAGTTAAAATCCCATTTCATTTGTAAAAAATAGCAGATTTCATCTTTTAAACTATATTTTACTTGTTGATCCTGATATTTTTAAATGGGGCAATGTTGAACATTTTCATAAATCAACTCAAATAGCAAATTATATAGCGACTATAGAAGATTCATATACCTTTGATATTTTTCCATGGGACTCATTTAGTAAAATTGCTTAAATAATAATTGATTTGATACTGCTTTTTATGTTTTACTCAATCTTTGATGTTTTACACAATTTCTGAAAAAACTAAAAAAAGATCAAAGATTGAGTTCCCTCCGCAAACTCTTTGAACTTTTAGGGAAGAGAAATGTTGAGGGGAAGTGGTGGGGTGACGAATACTTTGAAATGAAGCTGGATAGAGATTAGGATCTGATTATTTGATATTTCATCTACTTATTTAATTTTCTAAAAAAGTTCGTCATCATCATTAAGATTTCTTGAGCCTTGAAGAATGGCTTGACTTTATCTGTACAGATGAAACAAATTCAACGAAAAGATTCAGTTTTCTGTTCTGATTAAACGAGCAAAAAGATTTAATGTTCCCAACAGAAAAAGATTTAACTGCTTCATATCCAAACCTTAAATAAATGAGAATTTACAGTAATTTCGATATATTTTCATTAAATTTTTTTCTTTAAGGTATAAATCCATAACGTTATTAAGGACGTGGTAGGACCAAATATAATTTGAATTTTTTGTATAAATATCTCCTTAAATAATTTGTTATTGTAGTTCTAAAATAAAATATTTTATTATATATTTGATATTTATTAAAATAAATCAATAATAAATGAGATCTCCTATCTATATGAAAGAAAAGCATCCAAATTAAAAATGACATTAAAATGAATAGAACATCAGAAAAAGGTGTGGAAACTTTTTTCTCTCTTACACTTTCATTTATTACTTTTATATTATATATAATTTCTCATAAAAATCATGAACATAAAAAATAATATAATATTTGCTGAAAAAAAATCAAGATATAATCGCATATTTAAATTGAAATGTTTATGTTATTTATTTTTCATATAACATATCAATATCATGCTTTTATCATCATTCAAAAAAAGCTGTAAATGAATAATTTTTATATTTTATTTAGCTTTTCAGTGTATAATATTGAAATATTTGATGCAATATCTAAAATATTTGAAGTTTGGGATATATCTTTCGGGAATTATTTAATATTGATCATGAGGTGTCTTTAAAGAATAACTTTTTTTTGCCATATATGGAACTTTTAAGAATATTATATAGAGATTACAATGTATCTTGTGCTTTAAAGTTTGGAGCTCTAGAGATATTAAATCTCAGATCTTCCTTAATTGATCTGATCATTCAAAAAAATAGTAAATATACGTAAAACACTTTTTTATATATCCCTACTTTATCTGATATTAGTTTATAGTTTCCATTAAAATGATTATATGTGCATTAATCTAAGTATTTTTTTTATTTTTTACTATTTAATTATTTTCGAACATATTCTATATTTTTTTCACAAAATTGCAATTTCATTTAATTTTAAATCATATATTTATATTTTGTTCTTTTTTAAAAATAAACTTTTTGAATGTCTTAAGTCTTATACGTTATTTTTTCAATCAACTTTTTGAAGGTCTGAAGTATTATACGTTATTTTGGATCAACTTTTTGAAGGTCTGAAGTATTATACGTTAATTTATTTGGTAAACTTTTTGAATAATTTTGAGAGGAATTTCATATCTCTTTATCTAGCCAGACAATTGATATTTTAAGTGATGCTAATCGAAAATATAG